TCCGGATCTCCTTACTTTCCGCCGCGCCCTCAAGACATGGTTTTTCCAGCAAGCGGGCCTGACCTAGGGAGGATTTTAGGTAGGGATAATTTTAAAAGTATTTTAATTGGAAACACAGCTGGTAATATTTGGTTTTAATTCGGCTTTTATCGGGGTTTATTTTTTGTATTTCTGTATTTTTGTATTTTGCATTTTTTTTATTGTGTGTATATTATTTGTTTTTAATATGCTGTGAACCGCCCTGAGTCCTATGGGAGAAGGGCGGTATACAAATTAAATTATCTATCTATCTTATCTATCTATCTTATTTTATCCTAAATCCCCTATTCCCTTCCCCCCATCCCCTTCCCTTACCGTACCCATATTGTTCCTAATTTTTCCTTATGTATATAAATTCAATAAAATATTGTTAAAAAAAGAGATATGGTACAGTGGTTCTGAGATGACAACTGCCAGCTCATTTTGAAAAATAGGGCACTTGGTAACAACAGCAAGTGTTTGCAATTAGCTTTGCCATATGGTAGGGTTTGTGTTCGGCATCTTCCAGGCAGAATAGGAGTCAAATACCTGGCATAGCACAATATCCAGTGTGATGTTAGCTCATTTTACAAAAACCACATAGTTGTCAGAATTAAATGGTGATCCAAAAAGTCAGCAGAGGAATCTGCCATCCATCTGTAGAGCAAGATCTTTCTAATACTCTGTTATAAAGCGGCTCATTGTAGTATCTGTTGCTGGATTTTACCTCCCCTCCTCTGATTATCCATGGCTAGAACTGCAAGATTTTTCTTTTCTTTCTGCTTGACTGTCTTTGGGATGCAGCTTAGTTCACTGCCGTGAAGCTGCTATTCATTTCATTTCTGTTTTTATTCTAAAATAGCCAGTTAAGGTCCATTTCTCAGAAACCAGTTTCTATAATAATAAACAATAGAAATGAAAGAATAAAACAATCAAAATTCAAATGTGGGGTGTGCCATCTTTTTGGTGCAACATAATTATTACTAATGTATTGATCAAACTTTTAAAATCAATTTGGGAGGTGTAAGAATATTCGCTCCCCTCCACCTTTATGTGCAAGCATGTGGTGAATTCTAATATTGTTTAAAAAGCATAAAACAGTTGAGGTTTTTGATACCCTTCATCCAACAATAAAGATGTCATGAAAATGTATTTACTAAGGTTGTCTAAAATTTGTTTTGGTGGATTGTTTCCCCTCCCCTCTCACCAGCTGGTAGGAAAACATTGTCATGGTTCTGATATATGAGGCCAAAAGAAAATAAGAACTCTGAGGCATTTGCTTTCCTCAAAGAACAGTTTTAATGGCTACATAATATCAGCACGAACAAAGGTGAAACCAAGACTGGAAGTCCCCCCCCCCCACAGGTTACAAAATAAAAGTTAAACTCCCCACCCACTAAATACGTAATAAATCACATTCTCCAATGTGATTTATGCCTTTGGCGGGCTCTCTAACGGTAATTCTAGCCCGCCAAACATTTGAGCGATTTGACCTTGGTTCCCATAAGAAAGTTATTGTTTTGTCTGGAACAGAAGAATGCATTTTCCCTCCCCCCAAACTTGTGGCAAGCTCAAAAATGAAGAAAGATGGCTGTGACCAAAAGTAATTTTGTAGGTGTGACAAACATCCAGCAACCACTCCCTTTAATACAAGGTTGGAGGAAGAGGTAAAGTTTGTCAGATGGCTAGACTAGTAAGTATACATGTAAAAATTTGCTCTGCTTTGGTACAAGTATTCTTCATGGGTTCATCAGCTGATAATTGTGTGAAATACTTGTGCCAGAGATTGGCTTGGTTCTTTCAAATTGGCCTCTCCCATTGAAAGACCCACACTCTTCCCATTGATCAAAGCAAAAGGCCTCTGGAAAAAAAGTCCTTGGGGACTGAAATAGAGGGGGATGACCACCCCAGCCTAGGGTGGCCAATAGATGCTCTGAGCATCATAACCCCTATAATAATAATAATAATAATAATAATAATAATAATAATAATAATAATAATAATAATAATAATAATAATAATAATAATAATAATAATAGTAAAGTTGGAAGGGACCTTGGAGGTCATCTAGTCCAACCCCCTGCTCAGGCAGGAAGCCCTATACCATCTCGGAAAAATGGCTGTCCAGTCTCTTCTTAAAAACTTCCAGTGTTGGAGCATTCACTACTTCTGGAGGCAGGTTGTTCCACTGGTTAATTGTTCTAACTGTCAGGAAGTTTCTCCTTAGTTCTAGGTTGCTTCTCTCCTTGCTTAGTTTCCACCCGTTGCTTCTTGTCCTGCCTTCAGGCCCTTGGAAAATAGCTTGACTCCCTCTTCTTTGTGGCAGCCCCTGAGATATTGGAACACTGCTATCATGTCCCCCCTCGTCCTTCTCTTCATTAAACTAGACATACCCAATTCCAGCAGCCGTTCCTTATATGCTTTAGCCTCCAGTCCCCTAATCATCTTTGTTGCTCTTTTCTGTACTCTTTCTAGAGTCTCAACATCTTTTTTACATCGCAGTGACCAAAACTGGATGCAGTATTCCAAGTGTGGTCTTACCAAGGCATTGTAAAGTGGTATTAACACTTCATGTGATCTTGATTCTATCCCTCTGTTAATGCAGCCTAGCACTGTATTGGCTTTTTTGGCAGCTGTAGCACACTGCTGGCTCATATTTAAGTGATTGTCCACTAGGATTCCGAGGTCCCTCTCACAGTTACTACTATTGAGCAAGGTACCCCCTATACAATACCTATGCATTTGGTTTGTGCAAAGTCAAAGTATTTGACTTTGACGCTAATCAAACGTTGGTGATGAACATCAGAATTGCTATGGCTTGTAGCTACTTAAAAGGAAAAAAGTGACTAATACTGTAAAGGAGAACTTTAGGCTTTCCCAGGAATGGGTTGCGGATGAGATGTAGGCAATGTCATGATTCAGAAGGGTATGGAAGAAAAAAGATGTTATCAGAGCATGTATATATTAGGAATGCCAATAATTTCCCAAACAACAAAATGGAAATTCAAACACTTCCTGTACTGTATTTCATTGCCAATGCAAGGAGGGCTTACCACTGTAAAGTATACTACAATTGCAGTAGAAGCCATCAAGACCAGGCTCCCAACGGATTGTCTAAGTGATCATCATAATCTAGGCACAATTCTGACCTATCTGCTTTTGACTTTTTATGTGACAGGATTTTTGCAGTGAAGTGCAACAACTGTTTGGAAGCGATTACACCCAGTGAGTTTGTTATGCGAGCTCAGAAAAGTGTGTACCATGTAGGCTGCTTCTGCTGTTGTGTCTGTGAGAAACAGCTTCAGAAGGGTGATGAATTTGTCCTTAAGGATAGCCAACTGCTGTGCAGGAATGACTATGAGAAGGAACGTGAAAGGCTCAGCATTGGAAGCCCAGCCCCATCGGATTCTGGTAAGGCACAACCATTTATTTTGCTGGAAGCCATTGATGAGGCAGCAACATTTCTTCTTAGTATTATGATATTTATAAAGTTTTAATATTTTCCAGAAATAGCTGTCCCTGAGGTTAAAGAGCTCACCACAATATAAAAGTATGCTTTATTAAGATGTTCATATTATTCCAATAGTTTGAGGAAAGGCAACAATACTTAAAAGTAATAAACCCAAGGAATAAAATTTATTTATTTTATCCCACCTTATTTTTTATATAAATAACTCAAGGCAGCAAACATACCTAATACTCCCTCATCCTCCTACTTTCCCCACTGCAACCCTGTAAAGTAGGTTGGGCTGAGAGAGAGGGATTGGCTCAAGGTCATCTAACTGGTTTTCATTCCTAAGATGTGATTAAAATTAAAGTATGATTAATTCTTTATCTGCTTATTCCATCAATAATTCCAAACATTCTACAATGGATCCAGATGTGGCTGGTAATAAAGCAAATAACATTCGCACCCCCCTTTTTTTCTTTCTGTTATTACCAGCATATACTACTTGTGTACAGTTTGTCAGAATTTTTGCTCTTAGCTCTGATCTTATAAGCAAGACATCAGTTCCTTGAGATCATATTTCTAGAGGGAAAGAAGTTACCAGAGATAGCTGAAATAACCTTTTTGATTGCTTTTTTGTTCCTTACCAACTCTCAAGATCATCTTCAGTTTTTGTAATGAGCAAAATATGTTAACATCAAGTTTACATGGCCAGTTGGTATAGCAGTTACAAATTGGGACAATGATTTTGGAGACTAGGTTCACTTTTATGCTCAAACATGAAAGCTCACAATGTAATTTTGGGCCAGTCACCTAATTTTGGATAAGATGAATGGAAGTCATCACAAGCTGGTTTGTACTTGTGAAAAAGAAATAATAACAGAGTCGGAAGAGACCTTAGAGTCTTCTAGTTCTACCCCCTTCTCAAGCAGGAGACCCTATAACATTTCAGACAAGTGGCTGTCCAATCTCTTCTTAAAAATCTCCAATGATGGAGCACTGACAAGGTCTGAAGGCAAGCCATTCCACTGACTGATTGTTCTTACTGTCAGAAAATTTCTCCTCATTTGATGATTAATTTCCATCCATTGCTTCTTGTCCTGCCTTCAGGTGGTTTGGAGAATAGGTTGACCCCCTCTTCTTTGTGGAAGCCCCTTAGATATTGGACGACTGCTGTCATTCCACTCCTAGTACTTCTTTTCTTTTTTCTTTTTCTTTTTAAAGTTTTATTAATTCTTAAGAATTACAAACTTTAAAGCTTAGTAAACAACATGTTGTTTGGGTTCATATATTTAACATTAATTTATTCAATATAAATCTATTCAGTACTGCATAATCCAGTATTTTTTCCCTGATCCTTCTTTCTTCCTCATATTTTTCCATTTTGCCCTTATTACACAATTACAATTCTTGGTACTATTGGTGTATACAAAGTTATATATAAACATCTTCATCATATTTTACTAATATTATACAAATAACAATAATATCAATTCATAAATCATCCTGTTTTTCATGCTCTTGTTAAAGCTTGATTTCCTATCAATATTTAAAGTATCTTTGTCAGTTATGATTTTCTCAATATTAATTACATTTATATAGCTAAAAATTTTATTCATACCAATCCTCCTCTTATTTTCATATTTTCCATATCAAAAGAAGAAAAAAACATGCTATCTTAATTCTAAATCATATCTTTCATTATAAAAGTCTAATTATATCTAAGGGTCATCCATTCTTTTAATCATATTCAAACAAGTATTTAAACATATATATGCCCCCTCTAATAGGTCAAATCTTCTATTTTTTAAATCTAACTCTCGCTTTCTTTCTTTGCCAAGTAGCTTTCCAAGCCAAGGCAATTAAATTGCCCAGGCATTTTCTTTCTATTTTTATGAAAGTTGCTTGGCATGAGGAAGACAATTTAGGTAGAGTATTTTTGGAGGGGAATTCCACCCATTTATGTTCCTTAAGCAACTACCACCTTTCTTCTCCCTCAATTTCTCCTTTCATCCTTTGTCTCCCAAATTGTAACATTTCCCCTGTTCCATTCCCCAAAATCTTCTTCCTTGTCATCAGGTGCATCTTGCAGACTTAAAGGGTAAAGCAGGGGTGTCCAAACTTTTTTCAAAGAGGGCCAGATTGGATGAAGTGAACGTGCTGGAGGGCCGAACATTTTTCCGAACATTCTTTGAACCATTACAATTAAATGCAAATGAATTATTTTATGCCTCTTTCCTCTCCCTCTCTTTCCTCTTTCTCTCTCTCTCTCTCTCCTTTCCCTTTCCTCTCTCCTCTCTCTCTT